GGTCCCAATTTGATTCCTGGTCAGGACACATGCCTGGGTTTCGAGTTTGATCCCCAGTAGGGGGTGTGCAGGAGGCAACCAATTGGTGTTTCCCTCTCACATTGATGTTTCTATCTCTCTCTCTCTAAAAAAATAAACTTAAAAAGGACAAATAGAAAAATCTAGGAGAGTCAGCAGAGCACAAACTAGAGCTACATTAAAGGTTTGTTTCAATAATCTTTTTTTTACATTTGATATCTTTTTATATCTTTATTGTTGAGATTATTACAGATGTCCCCTCCTTTTATCTCCCTTTGACCCCCTCCTTCCCCCAACCCCCTCCTGCTTTCCCCAAACTATTGTCTGTGTCCGTGTCCACTGGTTATGTATATATGCATATAAGTTTGTTGGTTTATCTCTTCCCAACACCCCCCCATCTCCCTTCCTTCTGAGATTTGTCAGTCTGTTCCCTACTTCCATGTCTTCCATGATCTATTTTGATCAACGCTTATTTTGTTCATAATATTTCATAAATAAGTGAGATCATGTGGTACTTGTCTTTCTCTGACTGGCTTATTTCACTCAGCATAGTACTCTCCAGGTCCCTCCATGTCTTCTAAAAAGGTAAGAGAGCTTTCTTTCTTACTGCTGCATAATATTCCATTGTGTAAATGTACCACAGCTTTTTTTATCCACTCATCTGTTTCAATACTCCTAGCTTGTACTCTAGGCATCGTTCACCTGGGAACCTACTCAGGAGGGTTTATTACTGTAAATATTTGAGCAATCTTTTAAGATATGAAATCAGCTTTCATAAAGTGTGTCATGAGGTATATATTTTTTTTCTTTTAAGGCAGAGGGTAGAGAAATGCTGAGTTAAACAGGTCTCTTCACTGTAGGATGTATCAGGGTGTTTAATATGCTAGTGCACAGCACATATTTCCCAGAAAGAGAAACAGCATGAGATATTCTAACCTCCATGAACATTGATACTTTACCTGGAACATATTGAGGACTAGTGTTCCATACAACATTTTGGAATATACCATAGTGCAGTGCATCTTAGTGTGCAAAATCTGAGAATAGCAATGTGGAGTGCCCTCGGTGTATTTTAAGTTTCAACAAAAAAATAAGGTGAATAATGAATTAAAGGATACTTGTATTCTCTAACTTGGGTGAGATCCATATATCTAAAGTGAAGATGAATGCTGAACAATAAATAATCTAATAAATTAGTGCCATCTAGACAAACTGTCCAATTCAGGACAAATTGAAATTAATTGTTAGTTTTTATCTATTTATCATTTAAGACAACACTGTCTTTGAACTTATCAAAGGGATTAGAAGATTTGGCATTTTCTAAAGCAGATCATTATTTCTGAAAGGAAGCAGAAAATATAAATGTATATACAGGTGGATGGATGGATGGATGGATGGATGGATGGATGGATGGATGGTTGAATGGATGGATAGATAGGAATGGTTGTATGTACCAAACAAATATGTGCACATATATTCTCTGTTGTTTTTTGCTAAAAAGTGCAACACTGGTCCAAAGACCAGAAAATGTGCTAGTAGTTTTTAGAATTTGCTCACTTTTAATATTTATAATATGCCAGGTGGCATGTGTGCTAAGGAGAAAAATGAAACAGGATAACAGGGACGGAGTGTGACAAATGATTATATCACTTGTCTATATTGACAGTAGGGTCACTGGACATTATTATTATTTTTCTTACGAATATGCTACTTTTCAAGGTTTGTTCTGGTGAGGAAGTAGAGACACTAGGTCATCTGTTGTGGGAGGAAAACCAGAAATTTAACTGGAAATGGTGGCATGACTGAAATAGACCAATTTCTTTTTTTCTAAAATAGAAAATTGCGAATGTGCTTAAAGGGGTAAGATAAAGAAAAAACCTTTGGAGAGGTAAAGAAGGCAAGAGCAAGTGTCAAGCTAGGTTCCACAGTGACAAGGTACTTGAGATTTATATCCCAGGAAGCAAAGGATCTTTTCCTTGAAGGCTTCATTGCAGATATTATTAACTCCTTCTCCAAGAACACTATGTATGTTAGATCATTTTCTATACCATTTCAAAGATATGTAGCCATCTGAGGACACTAGAAGCACTGCAGAATCTGTGGTAAGCAATCTCCATGGGCACTGGCTTTAAAGCTGGAGCTTGGTTTGGGATTGCCATGGCAACCCCAATGCTGGCTGCACACTCTCACCCAGGCTCTCCTGATCTAATAACCAGGACTGTCATTGCCTGAACTCTCAAATGAGGTGTGCTTTTAGCAGACTTGCTTTGTATAAACCTCCCTAATGAATCTCTTAACCTACTTTATTTGGGTCTCTGTAAAATCCAAATGATCGAAGAGAGAGAAATCAGGAGTGGAATTGTATTGTTTTAAACTCATCATCCCTATTTACACCACTTAAATTGCAAAATTATTAAAGATTTGCCTTGCGCCCTGGTCAGTTTTGCTCAGCGGTTAGAACATCGCTCTGCGGTCCCGAGACACCCTCGTTTGGTTCCCACTAAGGGCGCGTACCTCGGTTGCAGTTTGTCTCCGACACTAGTTGGGTCGTGCATGCGGGAGGCAGCCACTCGATGTGTCACTTTCACGTTGATGGTTGATGTTTCTCTCTCTCTCTCTCTCTCTCCCTCCCTCCCTCCCACTCTACTTGAACAAAAAATGGAAAAATGTCCTCGGGTGAGGATTAAATAAATAAATAAATAAATAAATAAATAAATAAAAAGATTTGCCTTGCTATGATCTGCTATTTTCCTGTTTTCAGGTTTTTGCATTTTGAATGTAGTAGTCAGATCCTTTATCCCACACCACATACATAATAGCCTCAAAATAACAACACCAATACTAACACCAACGAAGTGATTACTAACAAAATGTTTGCAGTTCTTGTTTGGTTTTAGACTATATGTCATTAGAAGTGAACTATTAAATTACTAGGTTTAAAAATCACTTAGAGTAGTTTCTCTTCTCAACCACTTTTATACACTTTTAGGTATCATTTGTATCATTTTATTAATCTTATTTCTGGTGTCATTCTTTTTTTGCTTTCAACCTAATATTCTCTCTAATACTTTTTAAAATCTCTGTAGTCTGCTTCTGGCCTTTTGTAGTAGAAGTATAAAGATCACTAGGTATAAAATAGCATTAGAAGTATAAAAAATGTAAACTTAAAAATAAGTTTTCTTACTCTGAGAGAGACTACAAGCAATGACACCCCAGTAGCGATGGGGCACACCGGGAGCCCAGATCTTGTTTTCTAATAAAAAGAACCATTAAAAAAAACCAAGACTCATTGGAGTAATGGTTGATCCTAGGGCTAAGATAGAGAGAGGCAAGATAAGGCTGGAACGTCTTGTAATACCAGAAATTAAGGAAGTACACAGACACATACACACAAAATGATGGGAGCATGTCAAAGTGACAGACAAGCCAACTGGAAGAGCTCCCAGTGACCAAAACTGGAAGGATTTGAGCAACAAAATAAATAACATGGTATTGGAGTTTAACCCAAGGTATAAAACAGTTATTTATGAATCCATAATGATATAAATAAATAAATACATAAATAAGAAGAGACAAATCTCTTGAGCAGAATTCTAAATCATTTTTGTCCATACTTCACCCTCAGGGAACTGGGATATAACTTCCCACTTCTTTTATTTTTATTTTAATTTTTCAATTACAGTTTGTATTCAATATCATTTTGTAATAGTTTCAGGTGTACAACATAGTGGTTAGACAATCATATACTTTACAAAGTGAATCCCCAAATATTTCTAGTACCCACTTGCCACAGTACATTGTTATTACAGTATTATTGACTGTATTCCCCATGCTGTACTTTATTTCTCCGAGACTATTTTGTAGCTACCAATTTGTAGTTCTTAGTCTCTTCAACTTTTTCACCCAACCTCCCAAACCCCCTCGACTCTGGCAACCATCAGTCTGTTTTCTGTATCTTTTTTTTTTTTTTAGAGCGAGAAGAAGGGAGAGGGTTAGAGAGAGAGAAACATCAATATCAGTTGGCTGCCTCCTGCATAGCCTCTGCAAGGGATCTAGCTCACAACCTGAGCATGTGCCCTGATCAGAATCAAACCAGTGACCTCTTGGTGCATAGGTCAATATTCAACCGCTGAACTATACTGGCTGGGCAATTTCTCTGTATCTTCTTAAGTGTAAGCTGTGTATAGAATTCCTTCCAAAGAGTATATCATGGAAAGGGAGGGCGGAAGAGTAGCTTGACAGTACAGAAACCTGGCAAACACTATCTCATCCAGTTGGTCAAAATTAATATCAGTGATAAGTTATGTTGATAGCATGCACCTTTGATACAATGTTAATTCACAACATTTTCTCTGATTTTCTGTTATTACTATACTGGTTTAAAATCAATCTTTTACAAAAGTTTTTATGTATAGGTGAAAATCTGTTCTCAGCTTTAAGCGAATGAATAAAGTATGAAGCATGAATTCTACCTTTTCTAACTTTGACTCTAGTGAGGAAAGCATGATCTAGCAAGCATGTAATACAGATATTAAATCATAGAAGGTAATTATAAGGGGAGGGGTTTAAGTTGAGAAAAGTACAGATATACTGAGGTGCAGCTAGGGAAAGTTTCCGCAACAACTTAATCTTCTGTATACAATCAGAATTTCTGGAAGAGATGCACAATAATGGTTGATTTAAGGTTCACTGAGTTCTCTCAAGTGTGATTTGATTAACATCAAAAACCAAAAAGTGTATTTTAAAAATTATTATACTTTGTTAACCAACCTTATGATAGATAATAAAAGTATATGATAGAGTATAAAACTGGTGGCTCAATTAATGATGGTATGGTCAGAATTTATCAGAAACACAGCAAAATCAATGGGTTGTGTATGATGTCCTGCATTAATTTTATGTATAGACCTGGTTAAATCTTGAATGTTTCATATTTAGATGTTACTATGTTCCTCAATTTTATTTATTTTTTTTTCTTTTAGGATTGTCTGCTGCTAAACTGTTAACTGAACATGGAGTTAATGTTTTGGTTTTAGAAGCCCGGGACAGAGTTGGAGGTAGAACGTATACCATAAGAGTAAGTGATTTAAATACTTATACATAATATCTCACATAAACTAGAAGTGGGATCATTGGAATACACAGAACTAGGAGATCTCAAGAGTTCATGCAGTAAAGCCATTTGTCCTCCATAGCCATAAACTACTCCATCAAATAAGTGTCCCTTCTTTTCAACAAGCACTCACCAAAAGAGTGACAGCCTTACATTCTAATGAAGAACACAAATGTGAACAAATATATTTAGTACAGTGTCATAATTTCCATACTAGAGACCTAAATATAGTATGTAGTGTCACAGTTGGGATTATGGTTTGAGTGGACTCAAAGTAACTATACACCCACTACACACACACACACACACACACACACACACACACATGCACTTAGTATAGGTTTCTTATTTATTTATCCAAGGATTCATAGCTTAAAAGAAGTATAGCTACAGTAAGGAGAAACAAATGTAGCATATTTTTTTGTGCAACTTTTAACTTGGCCCTTGTTCCCTAAGAGGCATGCTGCTGCCAGAGATACTTTTCACTCAGGTAAGGTCAGCTAGACATGAGAAGAAACACAGTTTTCACTACATCACTGCTTTTTATACAGGCATACCTTGTTTTATTGTGCATTGCTTTATGGTTCTTTGCAGACATTGCATTTTTTACAAATTGAAGGTAAAACTACACTGGCAAAAAGATTGACTTGATAAAAGCTCAGATGATAGTTACCATTTGTTTTAGCAATACAGTATTTTAAAATTAAGGTATGTACATTGTTTTTTAGATATCATGCTATTACACAATAAACTATAATATAATATAAACATAACTTTTATATGCACTGAGATACAAAAAAATATCATGTGACTCCCTTTATTGGACATTCGCTTTATTGCTGTGGTCTAGAACTGAACCCGCAATCTCTCCAAGGTATGCCTGTACTTGGGTTTATATCACCATTCTGGACAAATGCACATTAACTGTTGTTTACTATTATTCAGGGAGATGGTTGCAGGTGGTTGAATCTGTGAGAGCTGATGAAAGTACACAGTGGGAGGACATAGGATGGGAAGGAAGTAGGACCAAACATGAAAGTTTGGGGAATATGCAAATAAGGGGACAGAGGCAGAGGAATCAGATAGAAGCAATGGAGGCAGAGGAGGGGTACCAGACTTAGAGCAGTGCCATGGAAATCAGTAAAGAGGAAGGGATGAATGATAAGCAGTCAAATACCAGGTGCATTTAATATACGATGAAGACTGAAAAGACTTTTGTGTTTGGCAGTTAGAAGGTCATTTATGAGACTGTTAGAGCACACAAATAGAGTGTTAAAGGCTGGGGGTTGGCCATAAGGACAAAACTGAACTGTTAAAATGACTGGAAGGAGAGAAAGTATCTTTCTAATTAGAATATGTCTCTGACTTATAACAGAATGGCTTACGCAGTGATAATAAGAATGGCTTAAGCAATACCAACATTCAATTATTTTACATAAGAAGTCTGTTGGTAGGTAGTCCAGGCTAGTGCAGGGGTTCAGCTTTGTTATCAAGACTATGCTCTTTCAGTCTTTCTGCTTGGTCATTTTTTATATGTCGGCTTATTGCTTAGTGATAACCAGATGGCTGCTGCCTTTCTAAGCATCAAATCCTCATTTTAAGCAGGAAGGAGCATGAAGAGGTGGTCTAAGTCTTACCTGCAATTGAATTTTTTTCTTTACCAGAAAACCCCAGCAGACATTTGGTTGAGTGTTATTGGCCAGAGTTGTGGCACATAGCTACCTTAGCTGCTAGGGAGCCTGGGAAAGGAGGTATTTAACATTTTCAGGATGCATAATAAAAGCAGATATAGGAAAGGGAATATGAATGGATATGGAATAGCCAACCAACATCTAAACTCAGATATTATACTAGCTATTTCAGTCACACCATTCTATGCTCCCCTCTGTCATTCACTCCCTACCTTTTTAGATATACAAGGATGTATCATGGGCCTATTTTCACTTTGCTCAACTCTAAGTGTGCTCTACAGCCTTGCTATTCAAACCGTCCTGTAGGCCAGCAACTTCAAAATCACCCGGGAGCTTGATAGAAAATCAGAATATTAGGCCCTTTCTCAGACCTGCTGAAACCGAATCTACATTTTTCCAGGGAATACTATAGAAGTGCTGCTTTATGATGTATGTTTGTTTGCTTGCTGGCTGGCTTTAAATTACTATAAATCCAAATTAATTGTATCTGGAGAATTTCTGAATAGTTCCTCAGATATAGTCCACTGGGAAACTATTGGTCTCAGAGTGAGGAGACTCTGATTCTGACCCTTGTGCTGGCTTGACACACTGTCTTACCTTGGGTACGTCCTATTAGCACTTTACATCTCAGTTTTCTCATCTGAGCAGTGATATACAATCTAAATGTACTTGAAGTTCCCTTCCAACTCAAATTCTAAATGAAGGCAAGTGTTTGTAGTTCAGAAGAAGGATTGCATATTCTGCCTATACAACCTTATTAGATAGGATTCTCCTGTCATTTTCTAGAAAATATTCTTTCATTGCGAAGCTAGTTATTAAGTTGTCCCTTAGCCCTACTTTTTTATTTTATCTCTAAAATCTTTTGGTTATTAAATAAGAACATCAGTCATATTGCAGATTTTCAGTTAAGAACAAATTTCTTTGTATAAGGGAAATGAGAATTCTAACATGCTATTGCCCCAGGCCTCTTTTTCATGCTGTATAATTTATATGTGTTAATGCTATACAGGAATTATTGTGTATTGATCAAGATATTATAACTCCCCTTAGGTATATGAGAAAGGAACTCTGAAATACTGAGAAACTAGGATTTAACATTTATAAGATTAAAAATAAATAGGAGATAAAAAGGGCTTTAGGAAGCAGGGACAGAAATGGCATTTAATAAGAAACTAAATTGAATATTATTACAATTGCTTCTAATAGCATAATCAGTTAGGATTACTTGGTGAGGAGATGCCATATTTACTCTGGACCTTTAAGTACTGAAATGTCAAATTTGATATTGTCACTTGGCAGCTGGATTCAGATAGATCTTCTCTTGGTTCAAAACTTCCCATTTTTTTCTGGGGTGATTCATCTATAATTCTTCAGAACCAAATTAATGAAGTTGGAATGCCTGCAGGGCTACCACAGGCATGGTGTATTTGTTTCCTAATAAGGTTACATGTTCGAGGCCTCTTCAAATTGAGTAATGAGATTGAAAACAAGACCCTAAAGACTGAGGTACATGGCAGAATATGGTATTACAGTTCCAGTATCTTCAAACTGAACCCGGGGCTCCTCTTTTAGAATGTTTTGACTTTGTAAAGAAACATTCTGTAAATGTTTCACATTTTTACTGCTTCATTTAGTATTATTTACTTTAAAGATAATATCAGTGTTCTAAAGACATCGTGTTTCAAAACTCCCAAGAGTTTCTTGCTGTCTTTATTAAAGCCTAGAGATTTATTGGAGTACTGATTTCACATCTTAAAATGATCTTGGAGAAACTTGGGAGGACAGCACCAGTACTTAGTAAAAGGGAACATAAGAGTTATATAAGGGACAAAATAAGAGGTCAAAGGAACACTTCATTTCTGGTATGGCAGAATGAAAACTCTGATTAACTCTCCCCATTGAAATAAGTAAAATGCTGAATAAAATATATATGCTGCTCTGTCAAGGAAGTTAGATATTTGCAGATCTCCTGGACGTTGAACAGATATCTCAAACTTAAACTTTTGATCTTCTTCATCAATACTACGCTATTCCAGCAGACTTCCCCATATCAGTGGATGACAACTTTAAAAAAACATTGAGTCATGCTCACCATTCATTCTGTCTGGAAATTCTTTGGGCTCTGCCTTCAGAATAGATCCAGAACTCAACCCTTCCCACCATTTCCATGGCTGCCACCTGATAGGAGCCACCATCATCTGTAGGGCAAATTACTATAATAGCCTTCTAACTGATTTTCCTGTTTTCACCATTGCTTCTTATAATTTAGTCTTAGTGCAGCATCTATAATGAACCTTCCTAACTAACCTAAGTCAGAACTTGGCACTTTTCTACTGAAAACCTTCCAATGGCTCTCCTCAGAGTAAAAGCCAGTTTCCCTTACAATGCCCTGCTGAGCAAAATAAGCCAGTCAGAGAAAGACAAATACTGTATGATTTCGCTTACATGTGAAAGCTAATAAACAAAGTAAACTAACAAACAAAATAGAAACTGACTCATAGGTAGAGAACAGACTGACAGTTGTCAAAGGGGAGAGGAGTTGTGGGGCTGGGTGAAAAAGGTAAAGAAATTGCCCTGGCCGGTTTGGCTCAGGAGTTGGAGTGTCGGCCTACGGACCAGAGAGTCCCGGGTTCAGTTCCTGCTAAGGGCACATGCCTCGGTTGCAGTTTGACCCCAGCCCCGGTTGGAGTCTTGTGGGTGGCAACCACTCGATGTCTCTCACATCGATGTTTCTCTCTCTCTCTTACCCCCTCTCTTCCTCCTGCTTAAAAAAAGAAAAGGTGAAGAAATTAAGTAAAATAAAATACAATAAAATTATAAATGCCTACAGAGTGGAATATTTTTTTTTTAATCCTCACCTGAGGACATTTTTCTATTTATCTTCAGATAAAGTGGGAAGGAGGGAGAGAGAAGAGAAACATCAATGTGAGAGAGTACATCGACTGCTTGCTTCCTGCACAATTCCAGCCGGGGCCAGGGACAACCACAACTGAGGTACACGCCCTTGACCAGAATCAAACCCGCGACTCTTTGGTCCACAGGCCAGCACTCTAGCTGCTGAGCCAAACTGGCCAGGGACAGAATAGGAGATTTTTAACATACATTTCTAAGTTTATAATAAACAAGCCCGGCTGGTATGTCTCAGTGGTTGAGCATCGACTGATGCACCGACAGGTCACCTGTTTGATTCCCCATCAGAGCACATGCCCAGGATGTGGGCCAAATCCCCAGTGGGTGGCATGCAGAAGGGGACCAATCGATGTTCTCTCTCATTGATGTTTCTATTTCTCTCCCCCTCTCCCTTCCTCTCTCTATAAAATCAATAAAGAAAAAAATATAATAAAAAAAGCTGAGCACAATTAATCTTATTCTAATGGACATGTATAAAGTATGCATAAAACTAACTAAAAACCATTCCATCTGTGGGTATTAAAACACAATAAAACTTTTAGAAACATGGATTTAGAGAGAAAGTGTAATGGAAATTTGAAAATACTTAGAACTGCACAATAATAAAAATACTAAAATAAAGTTGTGGGTATAGCTAAAACAATACTTGGAGGAAAATGTATAGCCTAAATAGAAAAGGAAAAAAAAAATTCAATATGAGTAAGCTAAGCATACAAGTAATTAGAAAATTAAGAGTGTAATAAGTCCAAAATAGAGAGGAAAAAGAGCACAAATCAATTATAAGAAAATAAATACCTAATAAAGAGGATCATTGAAACAAAGTTTGATTCTTTAAAGTGATTTATTAAACAAGTGTCTGATAATATTTTTCAAAAAAAAAAAGAGACATCCTAAAAAAACAATTAAAGGGATAAAGATGAAGATATAACTACTGATGTAATAAAGAATTAATAAATGAAAAGAAGATGGCATGAACTTTAAACCAATAGTCTTGAAGCATACATGAAATGCATATATTACAAGAAAAATATAGTTTATCAAAATTAACACTGAGTTAAGAAGACATAGAAAATATTAGTGCTTTTGCCTCAAAATAAATTGAATCTGTAGTTTATTTTCCCACAACAAAAACACTAAGCCTAGATAGCTCTATAGGTGTATCCTACCTAAAAAGAGATCATTCAATTTATATACAAATAGAAGAAAGTATGATCATTACTGCATGAGATTAGCAATACTCTAATGCAAAAAATAAACAAGGACTTGAGAAGAAAGGAAAATCATGGGTTGATCTCAATCTCATTTATAAACATAGATACGAAAATCTTAAACAAAAAATTAGCAAAGCATTCCCTACAATAATAAGATAGTATGAAGTTGAGTTTCTTCAGGAAGTCAAGGTTGAATAATACTTGATGATATTATTGAAAAGAACTGATTAAGTAAAATTTCCCAACCCTTCTACATCTAGAAGGAAAAGATTGACCTACTTTCCCCCCTACTCGGGGAAATGGTCTTTTGCATTTCTGTGGTGTCAGTTGTTACTTCTCCCCTTCCATTTCTTATTTTGTGTATTTGGATTCTCTCTCTTTGTTTCTTGGTGAGTCTAGCTAAGGGTCCCTCAATCTTGTTTATCTTTTCAAAAAACTAGCTCTTTGTTTCATTGATCCTTTGAATTGTTTTTTTTTGGTCTCTATGTCATTTATTTCTGCTCTGATGGTGTGGTGGGGAGGGAGTAGTTTGCTGACCACTAAAGAAGCAAGTGAGAGGCTGAGTAGTACATTAAAAAGTCTTACAAAGCTAGGGCAACTGAAGGTCAAGTCCAGATTCCAGAAAAGGTTGTGTGTATGGAGGGATGTGTTGGTAAATCCCTTGTACTTCGGGTTGGACTGCATCCTAGGACTAAGGGAAAATTGCAAAAGAATTAGGCCAGGTGTGCATTTCAGCCCAACTTCAAATCATTCAGGCACAGAAAATGCAATAGAGTTATTTGGTATTTTTAGTGAACTTAGGTGTTGGGCAGAAGCAGACATAAATTGTTTCTAAGAAAGATATCACCCTCCTGGGATTAAAATTATGTCCATATTGTTTTCAAATTCACTGAGTGGCATGCAGTAAAAGTAATCAGGCAAACAAAGAGAAGAGGCAACATGAAGAGGTATAAACGACAAAGTAGAAACAGATCCATAAAAAGTTATTACAAACACATGAAAGAGTTATAACTCACCAATATTTAAATTATTGATTGAATCATTAGGGGATGTGTTAATAAAATGGAAAAATGTAGAACTGCATTTAAGAGAGGTAAAGTAAAATTCAGTTTAAGAATAAAAGGTTTGCGAATTTATAAACTCATTTGTTAGATCCATGGATCTTTTTAATACCACTGCATAGGTTTTTCCTATCATGCATTCTTCCCTACAAGTGTTTTAAAATCAGATCAAGAGCCCATCAGTGTGGGCTGGTTTAAGATTTCATCTGTTGGATATCAGAGAACTAGGCCTAATAAATCTCTGGGTGGCTCATCCAGCAACATACCCCAAAGAAAAGCATAAAAAAATGACCTAAACATTTTTAGAAAGGTCTAGATTGGCAGGATGTACTACAGTGTTTTTTATTTTTATTTTTTATGTATATCATTGCTGAATCAGACTCACCAATAACTATGCAAATGAGGTTGCATGTTGATAAATACCCTATAGGGTTGTACCCACTTCTTGAGTAAAAGAGAAAGGATTACTATTTTCAGTTGCAATTTATCAGAGATGTAATGCACATTTAAATTATAAAAAGTAAATGCTTTATTATAACAGAAACTTTTTTTCAAGTTTTAACTAAAGTCTTCTGAATATTTTTTTCTCTTTCTGCAGAATAAACATGTTGATTACGTAGATGTTGGAGGGGCTTATGTTGGACCCACCCAGAACAGGATCCTAAGGTTGTCTAAGGAGCTGGGCTTAAAAACTTACAAAGTGAATGTAAATGAACGTATTGTACAATATGTCAAGGTAAGCCTGATATTTTTACTCAAGGGACTAATGGGGGAGTATTGTAATTGGGAAAATATTTGGATTTGTTTTGAGTTGTATTTTCTCGAAGCAACCGTAAAAATAGGCTCTTGGCTTTAAAGTAGTGTTCTGCCTTTCTTTTCTTTATTCTTTATCTTTAAAAAAATCCCAGTGGATTCCTGGAATTACTACAAGGAGTCATGTCTCAGCTTGGCTCTCCTTCACATCACCTACTGCAGCAGCCCTTGAAGGCTGCATCCCAACCCCTGTTCAACTGGAGTATGGATGGGAACTCTCAGCTCTCAGTTTCCTTTCCTCCCCTCCCTGGAGTGGGGGGGTACCTGTCACACACACACACACACACACACACACACACACAGCCCCTATGTGCAATTCTAAGGCCCCAAAGAACACAACAGTTTGAGACCACTTTTTAAGACTCTCACTGGTTATTCATTCTCCTTCTTACCTGACATTTCTTTACATGCCTTGATAATTTCCTCTGTACCTAGCCTTGACTCTGGCAAAGTTTAGCTTGGTTATGCATGAGTAAATAAAATGTGCCATTATTATGATTGTTTTATGAGTGAGTTTAATTGGATTGTAGGAACATTTTATTAAATTTTGCAGTGCCAAGTCTTGGGGAAGAAGGAGGAAATGCTTGATTTTTTTTTTCCATCACTTGCTTCTGATCATAATAATGTGGGTAGGGGGTGGAGATGGAGAACACTGCCAGAGATGGAGCAAGGCATTTTTCAGGAGCTGCTTTGAAGAAGAAATTGGCAAATTCGTACATTCTGACTTTTCTCCCTGCTTTTACATCCTCTCTAAGTAAAATAGAGACTATAAATATATACCACACATGTTTTTTAGAGAATGGTATGATAAAGATTTATTTGAAACAGCATAGGCTTTCCTGATAATAACAGCTCAGCAAACATTTTGTCCTTGTATTTATTCTATTCTCCCCACAGCTATTTACTCCAGGTTTCTATGCCAATGACTATAATCAAAGGCTTTTCAGAATGTGTGTATACTGGAATGTTAAGTAATTTTTTGTTATTGTTGCTAAGAGCTGAACTTTGGTTTAACCAGTAGGCTGTGTTGAAAGCAGAGGATGTATTTTTTGTTGTTTGTCTTAATGTTTGCCAGGTATAACTATGTCTTTTACTACTTGCTTACAATAGTGTTTCTTTTGGATTAGGGGCATTTATTTATTTTTTAATCCTCACCTGAGGACATGCTTAGAGAGAGGAAGGGAGGGAGGGAGAGAGAGAGAGGGAGAGAGAGAGAGAGAAACATTGATGTGAGAGAGAAACATCTATTGGTTGCCTCCCATAGCACCCCAGCCAGAGATGTAACCTGCAACCTAGATATGTGCCCTGACTGGATATTAAATTGAATCTGCAAGCTTTTGGTGTATGGGATAATACTCCAATCAACTGAGCAACTAGGCCAGGGCTAGGGACACTTATTTTATTTTATTTTTTTGAGAGTACATGCCCTTAGTGGGAACCGAACCCGGGACTCTGGTCTGCGGGCCGATGCTCTAACCGCTGAGCCAAACCGGGCAGGGCGAGACACTTATTTTTAAGCTGCTTCTAAAACGTTTCTAAACCAACTCACAGGTGTTTTTTTGTCTTTAAAGAAAGTTATACTTTTACTTTCAACTCCTCTCAGTAGGAAACTCAAGAAGCCAAAGGTGTTTACGCACTCGTAGGGATGCTACTTACCATGTCTTTGTCTCCTTTCTATTCATCTCCTAAATTCATCTCTTCTGACTCCATGCATTTGTATTGCCTTCCACCTGTAATGTGCCTATACATCGTTTATCTCACTTGAGCTTCCCAATGATCCTATAAAGTAATAAGCATTATCTCTACCCATTTACAGATGAGAAAACAAAAGCTCAGAGAATTTAGGAGCCAAAGTGAGGCTTTTCAGCTCTTAAGCTCAGGGTTCTTTTGGCTACACGTCTTTGTTCTTTATTCTATGGGCAGAAAGTCAACTCGTGAACCCCTCTAATAAACTGCTCCAAGACATGACAAAAATTACCTGCCAATTTGGCAGCAGGGGCTCTTGTGGACCCGAGGGATGAAGTAGGTGCCTGGTAGCCATACGTGGTGCCATTAACGAGAGTGGCTTCTTCTCTTCTTGAGAAGATCTTGAGTCTCAGGCCTTGAGTGAGCACCTGACATCTGAGTCTCTTGAGAAGATCTAGAACCCTTCTGGCCTTCAATGAGCACCTGACATCTGAGCAACCCCCAGGCTACAGCAGTTAGGTTCAGCAGGTGGATTTTATTATTGTGTTAAAATTCTAAGTCCAGAGGTCTAGTGCATGGTTTGGAATTGTTGGCTATACTTTTTTCATAAATGATTTATATACTCTTATTAGTGAAAGTATGTTCAAGATAAGAGTATTTTATTTTATGCCATTACACTCTGCTTAGTTTAAAAAGAAAGAAAAAGAGGATTTAATTGTTTTTGTTTGTTTGATTATTGTTTTTTTATAAAAAAGAGATCTTGTCTTTATCTTTAATTTTTTCTGCCTTGATTTTTTTAAATTAAGTTTTTAAATTACAGATGTCCATCCTTTACCCCTATTGACACTCTTCTCCCCCTTCCTGTCCTCTCCCCCTCACCTTCACTGCACTGTTGTCTCTGTCCATTGGTTATGCATATAAGTTATTTGGTTTATCACTTCCTACCCACCACCCACCTTTCCTACTGAGATTTGTTAGTCTGTTCCCTACTTCCATATCTCTGGCACTATTTTGTTCATCAGCTTATTTTGTTAATTATATTCCACAAATAAGTGAGATCAGGTGATACTTGTCTTTCTTTGATTGGCTTATTTCCCTTAGCACAATACTCTGCAGGTCCCTAATCATCTCAAAGGGTGAGAGATCTTTCTTTCTTATAGCTTCATAGTATTCCATTGTGTATATGTAACACAGCTTTTTATCCACTCATCTACTGATGGGTATTAAGGCTGTTTCCAGATTTTAGATATTGTAAATAGTTCTGCTATTAATATAGGGGTGTATATAGCCTTTCTGATTGGTGTTTCATGCTTCTTAGGAGAAATGGAATCACTGGGTCAAATGGCAGTTCCATTTTAAATTTTTGAGAAAACACCATATTGTTTTCCATAGTGGTTGCAATAATCTGCATCCCCCCCCAACAGTGTACTATAGTACCTTGTTCTCCACATCCTCACCAGCACTTGTTGTTTGATGATTTGTTGATGACAGCCATTCTGGCAGGTATAAGGTGATACCTCATAGTTATTTTAATTCGCATCTCTCTGGTGATTAGTGCCATTGAGCATTTTCTCATATGTCTCTTGGCCATTTGTATGTCTTGTTTGGAGAAGTGTCTCTTCAGGTTCTTTGCTGATTTTTAAAAATATGTTTTTATTGATTTTAGAGAGAGAGGAAGGGAGAGGGAGAGACAGATGGAAACATCAAAGAGAGAGAAACATCAATTGGCTGCCTCCTGTATGCCCCCTTCTGGGGTCTGAGCCTGCACCCAGGCATGTGTCCTGACCGGGAATAGAACCAGCAACCTCTTGGTGCATGGGTCAATGTGCAACCACTGAGCCACAATGCCAGGCTCTCCATTTTTCTTAAATCCTCACCTGAGGATATTTTTCCATTTATCTTCAGATAGAATAGGAGGAAGTGAGAGAGAGAGAGAGAGGAAGAGAGAGAGAGAAGCATCTATGTGAGAGAGACACATTGATTGGTTGCCTCCCACACAACCCCAACCAGTGCTGGAGACCAAACTGCAACCAAGGTACATATCATTGACTGGAATCGATGCCGTGACTCTTTGCTCCATGGTCCAATGCTCTAACCACTGAGCAAAATTGGCCAGGGCCAGGCTGTCCATTTTTAATTGAATTATTTGTCTTCCTTTTGTTGAGTTGTTTAAGTACCTTATATATTTTGGAAATTTACCCCTTAGCTGACATATCATTGGCAAATATGTTCTCCCATATAGTGGGTTAATTCCCTTTTCATTTTGAAGCTGATTTCTTTTGCTATGCAGAAACTTTTTAGTTTGATGTAGTCCCATTTATTAATATTTTCCCTTGTTTCTCTTGCCCTAGGCAATGTATCAGTAAAAATTCTGCTACTTGTGATGTCTGAGATTTTACTGCCTACATTTTCTTCTAGGATTTTTATGGTTTCATGATTGACATTTAAGTCTTTTATTCATTTTGAGTTTTTTCTTGTGTATAGTGTAAGTTGGTGGTCTAGTTTCAGTTTTTGCATGTAGCTGTCCATTTCTCCAAACACTATTTATTGAAGAGACTGTCTATACTACATTGTATGCTCTTGACTCCTTTGTCAAATATTAATTGAGCTAAAGTCCTGGGTTTATTTCTGGGTTCTCTGTTCTATTTCATTGATGTATATGCCTGTTCTTGTGCCAGTACCAAGCTGGTTTGATTACAGTGGCTTTGTAATAACCTGATATCCAGACTCATGATCACTTGAACTTTATTTTTATTTTTCCAGATTGCTGTGGCTATTGCTGTGGTCATTTTTGGTTCCATGTAAACTTTTGAAATGTTTTTTTTAGTTCTGTGAAATATGTCATTGGCATTTTAATAGGGATTGCATTGAATCTATAGATTGCTTTGGGTAGTATGAACCTTTTGATGATGTTGAATTTTCAATTCATGAACATAGTATATGCTTCCACTTTTTTATACCTTCTCCTATTTTTTTTTTTTTTTTTTTTTAATGTCCTATGGTTTTCTGAGAACAGATCTTTTACCTCCTTGGTTAAGTTTATTCCTAGGTATCTTAATTATTTTGTTAATAGTAAATAGGATTTTTAAGTTTCTCTTTCTGTATGTTCATTATTGATGTATAAAAATGCCCACAATTTCTGTATGTTGATTTTGTATCCTGCTACTTTGCTGAATTCATTTATTAAATCTAGTAGCTTTTTTGGTGGAGTCTTTAGGGTTTTCTATGTACAATCCC